TTAGAAACAGGAATTTTGTAGCCAAGCCAATCAGTAATAGTGTTCACAGTTCACCGTCGAAATTTGAGCTTCAAATCCACATGTGTCCAGAATTATCTGTGTTTAAATGCTAAAATGACGACTCATCAATTTAATATACTCTGTGATATATAGAAAAGATATATATAGAATTAGTGAGTAAAATTCCTAGTTTGAAGTATTTTTAAAGGAATTATGTGATTTTAGTACATTTCTAGTACTTCTGAAGACTATTTTCGTAAATTCAAGCCTCAAATCAACCCCCCAAAATGCCACAACTGTCCCTTTAATTAAAATTCCTTCAAAAATGCCTTAATTGACAAGACAGATGGATAAAGGTGATAGGAAAATGACTATGAAACAGGAATATCTGATAAAAATATAAAAATGATGATGATGAAGATGATAGTCAATTATCTGATATCTTTATATTAAAACAAAACCTGAAACATGATTTCACGCTTTGAGATCTTCAGACAATTGACCTATTTCAGCCTGCGTCCCACAGATTCTAATACTTAGACTGCCCAGCGATCAAATGTGACAAATATTCCCATGTCAATACTGAATGGGTGCAACTGATTATAGTTTAAGTATATACTAGCCACCAACAATTGAATGTGATACCCAAAAAGATACAATGATGTATTGTGTAAAGACCAATGCACCCATACCATTGTCTTTGTGTATTCGTTGTAAAATGCTAAATATTGCATGACATGTAGATATGTGTGGTTATTCTTATATGTGTAGCTATGAAGTCACTTTTAAGTAGCTAAGGCAATATTTAAGTAGCTATTTCACCTTTGTACCTACACCGCTATCATCACTCTGTCCATAATTCAAATATAAATTTCTTAACTTGTGTGTGTGTTCTTAACAATAGTAGGCTGGCTGGAAGATGCTTATCACATACCTGACACCCCTTCATTGATTTTAAACTCTTCCACACTATTGTATAAGAAGTCTTAACAAAATGCATGTTTAGAAGAATTCATTGCAAAAAAGGGGGTGTTTATGGTCATAGTTCAATCTTTACCCAGCTTTGTATAATTTTCTTTAGGTAAGTATGGTTAGTACTAAAGTTTTCAAATAAATGTTAGTAAAGTTAGTAATAGTACTATAGTGACTATTGAACTATTTAAAATAAAGAAAGAGTTAGTACCCATGGCCAATGTAACAAGGAATGGTGAGGTGGAATTCTTCACTTTCACAACATCTAATATAATATATTTCCCTTTAGCTTCCAAGCTGCCATCTACTTTTACATTCTGAAAAATATTGAATGAAATTCTTAAGTGATCAGAATATAAAGAATCTCAATGAAAATTCTGAAAAATCTATGTGTAATTCTCAATACTTTGAAAGGGAATTCTCATAAATTTTGAAAGAAATTCTCATGAATTTGAATACATATATTTTATCATTTGCAAAGGAATTCTTACAAATATAAGATATAATCCTCATAAAATTGACAATCTTATAAATCGGTTATAAAGGTGTAATTATGATCTCTTCAGGAGATAAATAATTGGTTATATTGGTGGTTATATGAATCTTGGTGATCTAGGTAATAAATATATAACGCTTTTTATAACTGTTTAAAATAAGATTAAAAGGATTATAACCTGTTATATTGGTGGAAATATAATATAACTGTTCAAATACTTACAGGATGAAATGGTTTTAACCAGTTATATTGGTGGTTATGTGGTGATTTTCAGATGATAAATAGATAATTTTAATACTTACCAGATTGAATGGTTTATAACCAGTTATATTGGTGATTATATGATAATCTCCAGGTGATAAATAGATAATTTAAATACTTACCAGATTGAATGGTTTATAACCAGTTACATTGGTGGTTATATGATAATCTCCAGGTGATAAATAGATAAAGAATTGGCCTGTATTATCTATTGTTATCTGATAGGCTGAAGTTCCCTGTATTTGAATGGTGGATTTAGATGGAATATGTTTGGTTTTGGAATCTTGAAGCTGACCACCAATACCTCTATGAACCTGTAAGGAATGACATGCTTATTTTAAACATAGATTCTGCCATTTAGTGTTTGAGGATTGGTAACCCATCAGAACCTATTCTAGCTTGATGAATGTTTGTGTTATGAGCCTCATTCTGGATTCAATATGGCCAACACATGAATAAGGTTTATTAATCAAAATAACAGTCATATTTGTTTATCAAAGACAGAAGTTAAAGTTAAACTAAACTCATTTGCTTTTTTACATCAAACAAATGGTGGTTATGGGTTCTGAACTAAGTTGGTGTGACCTTGATTAAGTAATCTTTTCCTCATTATTTCATTCAGTTGTAAATGGATACAGATAATTTCGTAAAGATCAAAGCCAAGGAGTTGATCAAGGACCAGTTGTTAGATTGGATTCTTCTGAAGTTGTTATGCTTGTAAAACATGGTTGATACTTTCTACTTACCTCTTGTAATACTGATATTAAAGGTTTTCTATTCTGTAACCATAGTGATAATAAATCTGTAGCTGGTGGAGCCTGACAAATACTGGTATAGATAGAAATGGATGGCACTTTCTGTACACTATATAAGTAATTCTGTAAAGAAAACAAAATGAGACTTAAAGATGTGTTGCCTTATTTTTTAGTGTCAAATTAAGAAAACTATTTAATTAATTTGTGTTTCTAATGAATTATCATGTATTCTTAATCATGTCATTCTGATCTTATACTGCATATAATTTAAGTTTTAACCAATCATAAATGTCCATGTATATACAGTATAAACAAAAAAAGACTTTTTGACCTTTTTGATCGGTCACTTATTAGAATTCTGCTGGTAATTCTCTTCTAATTTAACTAATTATGAATTAATTATGGATATGTGAGACAAACTGGTATTTTTCCAAGTCATTAGAACACCTCTACTTTCTATTCATATAAGCTTTAGCATTTTGATTTTCATAAATGAAAATGAGGGAACCCATCTTTAAGGATCCTATTTTTTAAGTCATTTATTGATCTACTGGATTTAAACACAAATTATTTACAACTTTACAACAAATTTAAGGCCATCCTTTTAGTAAATCATCACAAACTTTCTCCAATTTGAAACTCATTTTTTGGTCATATACCTACATACCAAACTTTATGAATATAGCTTGCCAGGCAAGATAACATATGCACATTGACAGATTCGTTCAAACTAGTAATGAGGGTAGATGGACAGCAGGCATGGGTGCTGACATCAACATAGATACTCAAGAATTTGACATAGCAACTACCTAGGAAAATGATCTTGTGAGGTTCTATAGCACAGTCGGTTAGAGCGTTGGATCTTAACATGATGTCATTTGCATGGTTACGTCGAGCAAATGGCGGCCGTGGGTTCAATTCTCCATCGACGTGTGATAGTCTGATGACCTTGAATAAGTCATCTTCACTCATAATTCCAATCGACCCAGCTGTAAATGGGTACAGATAATCCGGGAAAGATCAATGCCAAGAGGTTTGGCCAAGGACCAGCTGGTAGAAAGGATCCTTAACTGTGAACCTAAGTTGTTATCCTTGTAAAATATAGTTGTTTGTATCTTTTTCTTTCTTTCTGAATTTCCCCATTTTGATCAACTAAATTTAGACCAGTAAAAAAATTTGTTTAATGCTTTGTTGCATTTTTGCTTTGTGAACATAGAGAGATGTGGGCGTACTAAAAGTTGAATTTTTGTTATCTGAAAAAACCAAAAGGACCAACCTGTAATGTGCCTTGAGGAACTGTTACAGCTTTGACATATTTAATACCACGTAATACTGTATGATGATTAGCATATACTGAGGCTAATTTTAATACTTCTGATGTATCCTCATTATCTATAAAAAAACACAAAATAATTTCATAACACTAGCACGAAATGTATGCATTTTATTTTTATTTTATCTCTGCTTTATTGTTACGATACTGTAATCTAATTGATATAAGATAGCCATTTTGTTTCTCTTTTTTCATCTTTTTGTCTCCATTGTAATCTAACAAGTTTTCTACTGCAGTACTGTTCTAAGTGCATTGTTTTCAACCAATCAAAGCATTAATGTAGGATTCTTTTTCAGATAACTATGATGAATTGTAGGATGGCAATATGACAACAACTTGGGTTGGAAATGGTTCCTAGATGACATCCTTTGATTGGTTAAAAGATATTGTCATTAAAACAAGATAGCATTAGAAAACTTGTAAGATTATGAAAAATGGTAATGCAAATAAAATTAGATAAGAAATGAAGATTTTATTATTCAAGTAATTTTCAAGACATTCACGAAGAATGTACCTGTACTCATCAAAATATACAAACCTGTATTGAGTTTAGGATATTCAACCTGTTGATTTCCACCACGTAAAATAAAACTAGCTGTTATTTGTTTATTATTCATCCAGTTAGTAAAAGCTTTCACTTCAGGATAATCAGTAGTAAATGAATCAGATCCATCTGAAAGAATACAACAATTGTATTGAAATATTAGACAAAAAACAGGATTTTCTTAACAAGATATCAGGATTTTCTTAAAGGAAAGTAGTATTTTCCTGTACAGTGTTTGTACCTTCAGTTCCAACTGCAGCTTTACATCCCTGATAGTTTTCGAACAACAGTCTGTCAAAGTTTTGGTCTTCACCCCAACCTGTGCAACTACACTGTATAGAGAATGTATAGGCTGCCTGCCGACCCCAACCCCCACACTTAAATGGCGATAACTCAGCCAATTTTGGCCCGAGAGGTATAATTTTTGTTGCAAACGGTAGTTTAACATGTCTGCTATCTATTACAGTCGAAAACAGAAATTCAGAATTTTTTCAAACTTTCGAGAAAATCGACTTTGAAGCTTAACAAAATTAAAGAATTCAGGATTTATCAAATGGTTAAGAAAACAAGATTGTCAATATATGACAGTATTTAACATGTGTAAATATCAGTATTCAGGGACTAAATCCTGCAAGTCTTCTAGAGTAATGACTTACCAGGAAAAGTAAATAAAGCTGAATCTGCTTCACCCATACAATTATCAGGTTTCATTTTCTGTCCTTTATCAGGATTTAATGTAGGTATAATATGTATCACTGTAGATTCTAATAACTAGAAAAAAATTATATAAAATTCAATAGGAAACAAAGCCTTTTAAGGCTGTTACAGATGAAGGTCAGTAAAACAGATGTATTACACATACCATACAAAGATTGTCTTGGTTGCAGTGGCAGTGTCCAGCTCGGTCTCAGCTTAGTTGAAACCTCCCATAGAACCATAGAAAGTTATAAAAAAAATTTCAGACACATTTTATTGGCAAAAATCATATTTTCATTGATAGAAATGAAGTGGGGGTACTAACCATTTTCCAAAGACATAACACAGGAAAGAACGATTCACTTGTCATGTGTCACATTTCACAGGTCATTCCAAGGAATTAAGATTGTGTTTTCAACAGACTGCTTACATAGGCGTTCATTTTATAATTTCAATCAGTTAAGTTCATTTCTTTTGAAGAATGGTTGTGCTAAAGTCCAAGTGACAAATGAATAAGATAAATATGAACCCTATGTAACCTTTCTGGAAAATGAGGAGTGAATCACGATGCATGAAAAGTGATCGTTAATTCCTATGTAATGTCTTCCTAAGATTCAAATAAGCTGAGAATGCTTGGATTTAATATCAACAAAATATAAAAAATATCAATTTACCTCAGTGACTGTATCATCAGTAAGATAGCTTTCTACTAAATGTTGTATTAACTGTAATAATAACTCTCTACTAATCAAATCGGTACCATACACATTACCCAATAATAATACATGTGGTACCGGTTTACTGTTATCTTTTTTACCCAAAGTAAATATCAGAATATCCCGTCCTTCTTTAGATAGACCAATTCTATAAAACATTACACATAACGTCACATTCTGAACAAACATATAGATTACAAGAAATTGTAAACAAACAAAAACACCCAATGCTTTTCTGAGCTCAATTGGCATAATCATTGGAAAAATTCACTAACTTTTTATGTTTATACCATCAAAGGATAATATCGTCGTTGCGCTTCTAAAACCTCGTATCTCGATTTTGGTCAAAATCATTTTATGTTATTGTTTACATCTAATACCGTTAATACACCTTGTGTAAAAACGTCGCAACTCTAGTCCAATTAGAATTAATAATATTAGCATGTGACAAATACTCGAAATTTTAATTGGCTTAAAAAATTACAGTTAAAACCTCGTAACTCGACGACAGACATTTGTTTACACTAAAGAAGTAAGTATTTCTATAAAACTTCCATGCATTTTTATTCATTTGAGACCTCAAACGTAGTTAACATGACTTACAATAACCTGCACAGTCACGAAATATCTTTGAACTCGTCACTGTTATCAAAAGTTAATAAAATCAGTGTTGTCGTATTTAGATACACAAATAAGTGTATTCGAATGATAATATCACATTTATATCAACATACTTAACTTTAAATATTCAATAATCATAAAAATAAAGAACTCTATCGGTATTATTCTTCATTTTATTACGAGATACGATATTTTTACCATGTGGGGAT